TGGTTTTCCTGGAGGTCATGTTTGTAAGAAATTTCCTTGCCACATATGCAATGCTTGCAAAAGACGTCGGCTGCTGGCAGAGATGCATGCAAGTGTAAGCATCACTCAATATTCAGACAAAATTATAAAGGTGGCCCGGCCCTACTTTTAGCACCAGCCCTCATTACCTGCTCCTGAAGTTCCACCACCAGCGAAGACTCCAGCGGCCAAAAGCAAGACTTTGTTTCCAGTGAAGAGACTTATGCCTTCTGCTGTCTGTGTAAGTGCTAGTTTATTGGTTGAAGTCGACGATAGAGTGATATATGATGCTTTAGAAGGAGAACACAGAAGTTACTCAGTCCAAACAGTTTGAAGAGACTGTTGCAGAAATTAGTAAACTTCCACCTACAGCAATCAAAAGATCGGAGGGATCAGCGTTTGGACCGGTGGTTAGCGCACCTATCCTTAATTTAACAACAACGCTTCCTTGCCCATTTAACCTGGGATTTAGGCAAAAGCCACACAAAAGGCTCACCTCCCAGACGTTGAGTTCTTCATCACGGCCAGGCGTATATCTCACAACGAGTATTCTGTTAGTTTCTCAAAATCGAAGCCGAAATCAATTCGATCTAAGGTGAGTCTTGGTGGCTTGTTTATCAAAAGAATGTATTTTGAGCCTGCATTAAGGTGGATACCACTGTAAGTCTTACCGCTAGCCTTCTTCTGGACTCTGCTTCGAAAAACGCTTCAATTCATCTCACTCTGAGCGACTCACAAATTTTGAGTGTTTCGTGCTTGGGTCTCGTAAAAGCTATGCAAAGTTGCAACTCAGGTATCTGAAATATTTCAAAGTATTTATTCATTCCGTTGTATTTTTTTTTCAAAATTTAGTTGTGATGAGGGCTCGACCAGTGGATCCATCATGCCCAAGCACTGTGGAATTGCTTCCTCCAGCAGAAGCTGTCGAGTTTGTTAGGAGGTAACGAACATTTTTTTTATCACTCTGCTTCGACCACTTATGTTGTGTAGGTGTGACGTTTGTGAGGTCGATTTGCATTCGAAGGAGGCCAGTGATGCTCATTTTGCATCGGAAGATCATGAAACAGCACAGGTATGCTCATCAGATGTTTTCTTCAAATTCTCATAATTTTAACGGCTGCTTTTAAAAGCAATCATAGATTCTGGGAATGATTTGAAAATCACTGTGCGGTCTCAGTATACTATGTTAGGTGCTTCAATTTTGCTTTCTCAGTAGTGAAAAGTTCTCAAAAGGCAAGCATTTCTCGTTTAATTTTTGGCAGTAAAACCATGCAGACCACAGTACAAATTCATTTAAGTTACATGTTCTCATCTACTATACCCTGTTACTGTGGCACTTTATACTTTCAAATGTTTTTGTTTAAATATAACGGTGAATGGGCGCTATTTTCTGCGTTTTTTT